CTTTAAACAACCCCACTCAAATAATTTATCATTTCTCTCTCTCATGATCCACTAGTCTCTCTCACATACTTTCACTTTCATGGTCCTTACATTACTTTAACTACAATATATTATTCATCCACTCATACTATTATATTATATCAAATTAATTCTCGAAAAATCCGCGCATTTGCAAGTGATGAAAATAATAAAAAAAAATTATAAAAAAAAAGGATGAAGTATATTAATTGATCATGAGTTTCAACCATAAATTTAAACTTTTGGTTGAGTTGGTCATTTTAACATTATTGAAATACGTCTTAACTAATACTGAAATTTAACACAATTACTCATTGATGTTTTAAGTTTTATAATCCGTGTAACTAGGGGTGAGCAGGGATTGGATATCCGATCAGAAAATATCCAATTCAGAATTGGATTTCGGATCGGATATCCGTATTCGAAAATTCCAATATTTGATATCCGAATCCGATCCGAAATTTTCGGATATCCAAAAACTTTGGGATCATAATAGTTCGGATATCCAATATCCGATCACTTATTAATGATATTGTTTAAATACTATTGAGTACTATAATGGCAAAATTGATTATTTTTAAAGGCAAATTAACATATATTGAGCTTTATTACACAAACTTCCTCCGTTTTTTATTAGATACATCACTTTTAAATTATGGACTCCTAGGCAATTTTTAGAGTATAGAGAGATAGAGAGACAAAAAGTAAAGAGGATCCACATGACATGAGAGAGATAGAGAGATTTTATTGACTAAAATGGAAAACAATGCATCTAAATTAAAACTTCCATACATAGAAAGTGATGCATCATATCTAATAAAAAAAGGAGGAAGTATAATAAAACAATAATACCAAATTGAACCTTAAGGTCCTTTTTAGTTGGGATGGATTCCTATGTTTGTTTCTAAAAATTAAATGGGATTCAATAAGAATTGATGGGAAATGGAAGGAAAGCTCCCTTCACAAAATCTTCCCTTTCCTTTCTTTCTAAAATTGGATAAATTTAGGAGAAAAGAAAGAAATTAAATCTATCAAACTTAAAATTAGTTTTATCCTCTCTTTCCTTCCTTTTCTTTCTTTTCCTTTACTTCCTTTCTTTTCCCTTTCCTTCCTTCCCCTTTCTTTTCTTTACTAATATTAAACCAAACAAAGACTTAATTTTCACACTTTCTGGTTGCCCCCTAGCACAAGCTAATTGGCATCCCCGATGAAGCAAATGTACGGTTGGTTGTAACCCAAATTATTTAGTGCTCTTCCAAAGATATTGTCTTCCTTCTTTCAAAAAAATAAAAATAAAAATATTGTCTTCGTAAATCATTACTCTGTCGCTTATTTTTTGTCTTAATTTGACTTTTCCTTATCTTCATGACGCGTCTTCAAACCTATATATCTCCATTTTTATATGCGCAAAAATTATAAAATTTTGATATTAATAAGCTATATAATGAGACGGTTCTAACAAGGCCACACATTAATATATTATCACTTATAAATTAACGAGAATTCATAGTCAAATTTTTGGTGTTTACAATGGGGCAAAAATTAAGGAACATAGGGAGTACCTTTTAATTTATTTGTTGCTAACTTGCTATACATGAATGTAAAATAGTATGGAACGAGAAAGATGTTTTTGAACATACATAAGAAGTTAGGGCTCTATTTATTTTGACGGAAAACATTTTCTAATGAAATTTTTTTTTTCACATTTTCTATTATTTGATTAGCAAAGTATGGACAACAATTTTCCCAAAAGTGAAAAATATCTTTCAATTTATAGATGATTCATTTCACATTTCCACCGGTTCATGAGATCTAACATTTCCATATATATGTACATGATTTATTTAAATAGGTGCAATCCTTTATGATTACATATCATATTATAAAGCCAAACATTTGGCTACTATATATACACAGTAATCAACTTCTTGTAACATACAAGTATTCATCATCTATTAAACACCAATATACACATAAAGTTTAAGGTCTTAAATCGTCTTCAATGGTTAAAGCTAAGGAAATATTCCAACAAATTATTTGAGAACAGGAAAATGCACCAAATGTTCTGCAATTCATCATATGATTTGGGTTCTGTCTTAGTAGAGATATTAAACATTATAAGTGATTTGGTGAATTGCAGACGCAATTGGTGCACATTCCTGAAATAAAGGCTCACGTACGGTTCACAAGGATATAATACTATGAGTATGTATTTTTTTCATCCCAATCAAATAAAAGTCTTATTTGAGAGAGTTAGGGAGATTGTTCAGTTTGTTAAAGTTTTCCTCCTGATATAATAATAATTTACCAATATTAGCTATAATAGTGTTAATAGTCTTAATACTTCCGCAAACGGCCTCTCTCCTCTCTCCTCTCTCCTCTCTCCCCACTTCTCTTTCTAAAACAGTAAAACCATAGCTTCTATTATTGAATTTTGGAGGGAATTCCATCAATTTTTAACGGTGTAAAGCCCTAATTTATTTATTTATTTTCAGTGCTTTTTCAATTTATTTTTGTTTGATTTAGGTTTATAATTCCTTGAAAGAAAGGATTTTTCTTCTTTTAGAAAGATTTTTTTCCTTCAAAAGACATGACACACATAAAACTTTTTACAATAGATCAAGTGAAAAAAAACACACCCCTTAAAACTTAATGTATAGTAAAAAAAAAAAAAAAAAAAAAATTCTTAAAGTTAAAGTGAACCGAATCTTGGTATAGTACAATACATTTAGAAAAGTACATGTAAGAAAATCTAGAAAAAACTATATATCACTTCTGATTCATTTCTAGAAAATCCTATACTGTATAGAGTATATTATTTTAATAATTGAGTTGGGTTTTGGGTGTATCAATCTGTTGTGGTTACATTCCAATAAGCCTAACATCTGGCTGCTACAAATGCAAAGAACTACTTATCATTTAGAAACATCAGAAATCCTGCAAACAGCAGCAAAACATCTACCTTCTGAAAATTTTCTTAATGAATATACCGCGATTTTAAGATCAGGGATGCGGACTAACTGCTCAGCAATTCATCAAATGACTAAAATTTTCTCATGCTGATATAAATTTCAGTTATTTGTTGATAGCTGAGCCAGTTGGTACAAATCTCTGAAACGAAGGCTCAAGATTTGCATGCATATCATATCACACCACAGGTAAATAGGTTATTTCTCTCTCTTTTTTTTTTTTTTACATTCAAGACATGCTTGGATTGGAGGTAATATTTTAAGGGGTAATAAAAGTCAAACTTGAAAAAACATAAGTAATTAGCAGTGTTGTTGTAGGAGACAAGGTGTTTATAAATGAGAAAGATAGTTGTGTCATGAGGAAAAGAGAGAGATGGAGGAATTATTATCTTGATAATGAGGGTAATAGTTACCCGCTCTCCCTTAGTGTAACTATTACCTCCAAAATGAGGGTATTAGTTCCTCTTTATTCATCTCATACTACACCATCAATACATAATTTTCCTTACAATCACACTATCACTATCTCCTCCTTTCTTATATTCACTTTCATTTTGCTTAGTTTGACTTTATTACCCTAATAATACATCTCCCTCAATCCAAGCATGCTCTCAAGAGTAAAAATTGTAACTCTTTGATCCCTGTACCTCCATCAGCTATTAACATTGAATTGATACATATTCAATAGCCAAAAGAAGATATATACGGTGTATTAATCAAACCCTAGCCTCCATTGTTGTTTTTTTAAGGGGATTCTATTGGTTTTAACCGGTGGAAAGCCCCAATCCTTATTTCTTTAAAAGTTTTTTTAGGTTTATAATAATGCTTCCTCCTTTTGGGAGGAATTTTTCTCCCTCGAAAGAAAAAAGACAAGGGTTTTTCGACCTCCTTCGAAATGCAAGGTTTATTTCCTCTTTTCGGGAAGAATTTTCTTAGGTTTAAATCCATGGTATTAGATCTAATGGATTGTCATGAAATTATTTCGTTGGTGCAAAATTATGCGAAATCGCAAGGGTTATCAAGCTTTCAAATACAATCGGATGAATCAGAAGGAAAACATTCTCACGGCTACAAAGGATCGTTAGATTGTTTCTCCATCAAGGCTGTATTTACCAGCGATATCAGTGAGAGATGTTGCACAGTGCAAGATCTACTCGACGATCGTAGTTTTTATAAAGGAAATTTTTATTTGATTCAATATCTTATGTATTTGTTTAAGTCGAATTTCTTTTGTAGATGTGGTATGAATTTTTTAAATGAATTTTTCTTACTATTTAAAAAAAAAATGCTAATGAATTAATCATAACCAGAGATGACTTCAGAGCTACTGCAAGTCTGCAATTGTGAAATACGCATAGCATCATACATGCATGGTAAAAACCAACTCACCCTGCTAATTGATACCCTAGCAGAAAGACATAAAAGCATTGTACGAGTACGTTACAACAAAATTTAACAAATGCTTATGTATCAAACAAACACAGCCCTAGTTAAAGAATTAGATTTACGGACTATGAAAATGTTTATTGTGGGTAATCCGGCTATGAACTTATGATGCCAAAAAATAGACTAATACTATAGCATAACCTCAACAAAATTAAATTTATGGACTATGAAAATCTTTATTAAGGGAAGAAGCTGCATTATTATGGCTGTGGGAGGAAATATCTTAGAAATATGGCTTTATTACTTATCCCCTGTATAAACAGCACACAATTGACTTTTATTTTTCCCAAACAATTGCACTTTTCTCATTGGCTTGTTGGTTAAATTTGATGAGGTTTGGGTATGAGATAATGAATGCTTAATCATGTGTAGAATACCACATAGCAAGAGGGTGGTTAGGGAGAGGAAGGTAAGTGAGAGAGTGAAACTAGAAGGATATTTTCGTAAATTTGGGAGGTATATGGTTTTTCTAGGGTGGTAAATGGTACCGACATTCCGGGATCGGTTGGATCGATGAACAATCATAATCTTCAAAGCTGGGAAGTTGTAAGCCAAGAAAACCAACAGTGGTACAAATTAGAAGATCTTATACAACTCTCTAGAGTTCGTTAGTACCACATCATCAGTAGTAGACTAGTAGTACAAACTGAAACTCTGAGGTGACTTGTACAACTCCCAAAGCTAGTACAGTAGTACCACAACATTTCATGTAGTACAACACTGGAGTACTCGTGTACTATTCTGGTTGCACTATAAAAACAACATCCAGAAATCTTAGTAACAATTACCAACAATTCAGCACAATATCATGAAATTATGAAAATAGTTTGTATTATAACAGGTGGTGAAGTCCCACAGGAGCGACCTGAGACCACATGGCTGAGGCATATGCACCTTCCCAAACCAGATCACCTATTTAAGGGTGGTTTAGCTCAGGGTTCTGGGTAGGTTGCTATCCTGTGGTGCACATGTGTTCTCAGGTCACCCCTGCCGGCCTTCATTCACCACATAATAGATAGATCCATCTGTAATCATGACGCACATCACTGGACATCGGCCTCTTTCAGAAAAACAGGCTCAAATACTGCAGGGCTATCAGGTAAATTTCCAATCAAAGTTTAGAGTTAACTTTTGGGTGACACACACAATATACGTAATGATAGAAACATTAGTTGGTGCAGCTCCATGGTCCAAATTTTTTGAAACTTTCCATGATGTCTTTTGGGTTTCTCAGAACACTGCATGATCTGAATGAAACAGATCAAAGGTGTTCCGTTTTCAACTTTAAAGCATCATCTTAAGCAAATCTTGGACAACTTATGGAGTTTCTCACTCGATAGCCATCTCTAGCCATTTATTCTGCCAACAACATGGTTGAATCCAGGAGCTGCTATTTTCAACATCTGAGATGTGGAACAAGTTACATCGATGATGACTTAAGAAGGCAACCAACAGCATCTACTAGGCTTCCTTGACCGTCATGTCTTAATTTTAGACCTTTGAGAACCAGCACCAGCCACATAAAAATTGAAGATAGAGATCTAGTTTCGTGATATCTCTGAGAAATAATGCAATAAACTGAAATGTTAAATGCCTAAAGATGCATAAAGCGATGTTTAGACAAATAGCTTAAAAATATAAAAGGAAGACCAAAGTAATAATGCAGTTGACATCAAAGGACATAAAATTTATCAACTAAACATTTTATTATCCATCAACATAACCAAAATATTAATCAGGGTATAAAATCCACACCCAAACAATTTCCATCTAAAACCATTAGTTTTCTATGTAGATATTCATATATTATTCATCATTATATCCTTAATTAACCTTCTTCAAAAAAAAAAAAAAAAAAAAAATCCTTAATCAACCATAATCTATACTTATTAATCAATAAGTTGTCAAGTAGTAAAGGTTAATAATAACCTGCCTCTCCTCTCTGTCATACTTGACCCATCAATAAGTTGTCACCAAGTACAGTTAAATAATAAACCCACCTCTCCTCCTCCCTGTAATATTAAGTCAAAAGCTCACAGCCTTCACTGTTTTCAAAGATCAGACAAGATGTCAAACTCAGAATAACCACCTCTCCAAAATTTGTCACTGCCTTACTGTTGGTAGCTCAGAAGGGGGAGGAGGTTTAGGATGAAACTTGATATTAAAGGCCACCCGCAGGGTTTACAGCCATAGATACCAGTGAAATAGTCCTAAATCATTTCCTTTTTCACATGGTGCGTAATCAATAACCAGGGCGAGCAGAGAGGTGAGGGACTGATGGTGCGTTGTTAAATATAAGGCAGCCAACTAGTCAAGGGTAGTTGGGCTCTGGGAAGAGGAAAAAATGAGGTTTACGATGGAAGCGGTTTTCTTCTCAATTGCATAGAAGAGAGAGTGAGAGTTTTAAAAAGCTTATAGGGTAAAATATACAGACTTCCAATAAGGGGTGTGGTTATAGAAATTCAAGAATCAGGATGATAGATGCAGATAGGTGGGCAATTTTTCCAAAGAATAAGCGTCATCAGAAGATCAATCATGAAAATTCACTACGTCAAAAAATAGGCAGCACCATTCACCAGTGCAAAAGGTAATATTGGTATGTGTCCCACCCAAAGCAGAGGCTATGGATATGAGCTTATTAGTTACACATAACAAGTAAGGAGTAGAGAGTGTGTTCCAAAAAGATAGTAACAAGTAAACTCCACAATTATGGACAAAATGAACAAGAGCTCTTGGACAAGATAATGCAAACCAGGTTAAAAAGGACAGTTTTATAATAGCGGTATATTACAGCTTCAACATATAAGAGGCAAAAGCTGGTTAAGATTAAAAATCAAACAGATGGCCATGGATTCAATTGAAAATCTGGCAAGACCGCAGCAAACACTGAACCCCACTTATTAATTCAAAATCTGCAGATATCATTGACTTGGGGCAACAAGCACGTCCGCAGATCACAGAAGCAACTAACAGGTATAGCAATGCAGATTTCCATATCAAACATTACTGAGGTGCAACCCAAGGAATAATTATTCATCCATCTTTTATACTGTAATCATCGAAGGGATGAAACTAGTTATATAGCCACAACAAAAAACTTAAAAGACAACTGTATTCTTGAATTGGACAAGATTACCGGAATCCATGGGATGAAGCCAAAAGTTTGCAGGTAATCCATTTTCAGAAACTTCTTTTCAAACTGTTAACCACTTAACTACAAAGTATATAGCAAATGTCCTTTTGAAGGCAATAGGAAGCCAGTCCTGAAAGATAACTTTAACCAACTCTCTCTGTTATCTTTTTTACAAAAAATAAAAATTAGCTCACCTACAGAACATGCCATATTAAATACGAAGCATATATCATGGCATGTACATACGTAGCTCCTGTAGCTGACAGAAAAATCTAAACATAGCCAATCGAAATGTGCACCCGTGGACAAAAATCTAATTAGAGTGACCTTTATGAGTATGGAGCCAAAACATAAAGAGAGATTACTTGCAGAACATAACAGCAAATCATATTCATGCAACACTTCAGGCATCAGCTATTAAAAAGTTAAGCAGAGCAGCGATTTGTACCTGAATCCGAAGTCAAGCTCTAAAATGTGTGACGATAGAAGATGAGGGCAATTACTCAAACACCATTATCAGAGTAATTATAATTAACATATCAGACTTACCCACTAACTATAACAATGACACTGACTGTTGCAAGGGATATATAGTACATAACTTAACAGCCCCTCACTTGTCTTTGATGGCAGAAAATAGCTAATAATCTGAAGGTAAATATTTATGCTCAGGTATGTTCAAGGCCCAGAATTCGCAGGACATTACAGTTTACTAGTCGAAAAAGATTACAAGATATCCTTTAAGCTTTATTAAGCTCAACAACCAAATGCGTTATGCTGCAAATCACGTAAACATATGCATCACACTCAAAGCAATAGTGCAATACTAAGAATAATATCTAACAAATGCACAATATTCCTCACAATAACTTCTCTCAAAAGAGTCAAAACCTACATAAATTACTTTCAAGTCATTCTGACTCTTAAGCTAATAAAAAACAACAACAATGCCTTAGTCCCAAAATGATTTAGGTCAGTTAGCATGAACCATCATAAGAAACCGTCTGAAAAGGAAAAAGAGCAGAACAAAATAATCAATAGATGTAACACTCTGCCACTCTAAATTTCCTTAATGGAGTCTTACTTGGTCTCCTGATCAAACCACCTTAGGCGATTCTTCCGCTTCTTATATTCAATAGATGTAACCCCTACTTTCTTCCTAATTATCTCATTGCTCAACCAATCCTTTCTTGTACGACCACACATCCATCGCAACATAAGCATCTCCGCCAAATTCATCTTTATGCATGTGACAATGCTTCACAACCCAACATTTAGTACAAATCAATCAATCAAAGCCTAAATCCCATAAGTGGGGTCAGCTAACATGAACCAAATTTGATTATTCCGTGTAGTCGTCAACATAAATCTTCCTCCTCCATACCTTACGATCCAATGCTTCATCCTCATGTAAACCATACACTTCATATCCTTCCTAACTTTTTCCAACCAAGTCATTTTCGGTCTTCCTCTCCCTCGTTTAACCCCTCCATGGTCCCACTCTTCCACACTTCGCACCGGTGCACCCTCGGGTCTCCGTCTTACATGCCCAAACCAACACAGGCGATTTTCCCTTAGTTTATTTGCAATGCCTGCCACACCTACTTTCTGGCGAATAACCTCATTTCTGATTCTATCCCTTAGAGTGTTTCCACACATACACCTTAACATGCGCATTTCCATAACATCCATATTTTTAATGTGTTCTTTCTTAGAAGCCCAACATTTAGTACCATATAACAAAACAAAAAAAAAAAAAAAAAAAAAAAAAAAAAAAAAAAAAAAAAAATTATTAGGGACTGTTCTGCAGGCATATGCTAACAATACAGATTTCAAAGTCAAATGTATGGTATCATTTGAACTTATAAAAAACTCAATGAGTCGATGGTTTATTGATACAGCTTACTAATTATCATGTGCTTCTAGCCACTTAATGTGGTGCATCACCAAAAGTATAAAACTCAATGATTCCATAATTTATAAAACTCAACATATATAGTCTGTATATCCAATTTATCAAAACTGAATGAGGTGATTTTTTATCAATAAAGCTTACTTAAATTCCCATAAGCTCCTAGCCACTTCATATGGTGCACAACAAAAAATACAGTAGTTACAATGTCAGTCTATTCCTGAATTACAAAGACACTAAATAGTAAACGTTGTCCTTAAGACATCAATTATAATTCAAGCCAGCAATCAAAACAACTAAAACCCATTCAAGGAAAACCCAAACTAGCTGAAGAATCAACACTGAACCATCCAAAAAGTTCACATCCCCATCACCTCAACGACCCAACATTCAAAACAAAAGACCTTTACTTCATACTTCAAAAACCCTATCAACCACAAAGGGAGATAAGCTCTAATATATATCCAAATTATAGTTGAAAATGGGATTCATTCAATCATTCAACGGAACTATGGATGTCAGAACAATGGTTCCACAAGGACAACACCAATAACAATCGATGTTATTTAGATACTACAGCTAATGGAACTTCAAATTCATTGTTTATCTAAATATTCAAGCACCTCAACTATCTTAATTCTTTAACATTATTTAGGTGCTTAGTTCTACAGATAAACATTAACACCGCAAATTCCAACAGCATACCAAATTACAATTAACAAATCTCCAATTAATTCAAATCAAAGCTACTCCTATCCAACCGAAAAAAACGTCACCACAAACAAACTGAATTACGAAATCTCAATTTCTGCAATCTGAATGCAAATCTCAATAACTCATAAAACCAATTAAATCTACTTAAAATGCTATCAAAATCAATCCAAGAATATTTATTGATCAATTAATTAAAAAACTAGTGAAATGAATTAAGAACTAGCTCAAAAATAACCACCAAAAAAACACATTTAGTCATCCAGTCTGATAAAAATAAGCAAGTTCACCACAGACTCTGATTAAATGATGAATGCAGGATCCACAAACCATGGCTGCGCAGAACAAACAAATCAATCACCACTTACTGCCATACATATCTGTAGCTCCTGTAGCTGACAGCAAATATTAACCATAACCAATAAACATGTGCCAGGGACAAAAATCTAACTAGAGTGATTTTTATGAATATGAAGCCAAAACATAAAGAAAGATGAATTGCAAAGCATAGCTCCAAATTACTTCCATGCAACACTTCAGGCATCAGGCCATAAGCTGCAGAAAAGTCCATCAGAACAGCAATTTGTACCTGAATCCGGAGTCTAGCTTTCCAATGGGTGAAGATCAAATATGAAGGTAAACATCACCACTTTCAGACCATTCATAATTAACATATCAGACTGACTAACATCAATGATGTTGACCATTACAAGGGGTATATTGTACATAAACTTAAAAGGTCACTTGTTATTACTTCCAGGCCCAGAAGCCCAAAAGAATGCATGATATCCTTTAAACCTTATTAGTTATTACCAAATGCAACATGCTGCAAATTCATATATTCATCACACTCAAAGCAATAGTGCAATACAGAGAACCATTTATAATAAATGCACAATATTCCTCACAGTATCTTCTCTTTAAATCTAAACAAATTGGTTTTTAGTCATTATTGAGCTAGTAACAACTAACAAATGAGTGTTGAGGACCATGCTGCTGGCAAATGCAAGCAATACAAATTTTACAGTCTAATCTCTAATGTATGGTAAAACCTTCATGCACTTCAACATAGTCCGTTCAGTCAAAATGAATCGGTAGTTTATCAATACAGCTTACCACTTCCACATGTGCTTCTAGCCACTTCATGTGGTGCATCACCTAAACAATAAAACTCAACAAGTCCATAATCTGTAACACTCAACATATAGTCTGTAAATCAAACTGAATGAGGCAATAACTTATCAACACAGCTTCCTAGAATCCCCTGTGCTCTTAGCCACTTCATATGGTGCTTTGATGCACCAACAAAATTTCAGTAGTTGCAATAACAGTCAAATCCTAATTACAAAGACACTTACTAAAAAGTTAACGCTGTCATCAAGACATCAATTATCAAGCCAGCATTCAAAGCTAATAGAATCCATTCAAGGTAAACCCGAAAGTAGCTGAAGAATATATAATCAACAATGAACCATCCAAAAGATTCACACCCCCTCACCCCAACATTCAAAACAAAAGACCTTTACTTTACACTTCAATATCCCTATCAACCACAAAATGAGACAAGCTCCAATACAAATCCAAACCATCTTCAAAACAAGAGATTTATTTATACCAATATCAATCAATTTCATCAATTGGAGATGTAATTCATTAATCAGAACAAGAGATGTCAACCATACTTCAACAAGGTTAGACCAATAACAATCGATTTCATATCAATTCTACAGCAATAAAACTTTAAATTCATTGTCTATCTAATCATTTAATAAGCTCAGCTACCTTAATTATTAATCTATCATCGATTAGTCACCTAGTTCTACAACAAAACATACTACACAATATCGCGAAATGAGTAAATTTCAACATACTAAATTTCCAATCTATTCAAATCAAACCTACTCCAATCCACCAAAAACAAATTCAATCACCAAATCACATTTCCCCAAATCAAAACTCTTCCAAACAAATTCAAATCTCAATAACTCACATCAACAAACAAATCAACCAAAAAGCTATCAAAATCAATCCAACAACATTAACCAACAATCAATCAATACAAAAAAACAAAGAAATGAATCAATAACCAGCTCAAAATGAACCACGAAAACAAAACTCATCCGATCTGATAAAAAAACGAGTAAGTAATTCACCACAGACTCCGATTCAGTTGATGCAAGGCGGGATCCGGAATACCACCGGCTAAGCAGAAACAATTAAACTCACGCCGCTGATTACGCGGCGGCTACTACGGCGGCGGAACATTAATTTCAACCAGTTCCCGACCTGCACCAAGCGAATCAGAGGCTGCCGCAAATCTATCTTCGCCGCTCTTTCTCTCTCTAATAAAATCACAACTTTCTCTCTCTAGATTTGTGAATGTAAGCAAATGAGAGAGAATCTCTTTATAGTGAAAAAAAAAAAAAAAGTCTAGTTTTGGTTTTGTGCTGTTGATTTCCTGAGGCTATACCTATTTTCAGCTAATCTAATCTAACAACTATGTGTTTTTGAGGAGAGAGAAAGATTTAAGTTGGTTATTATAAGGAGTAACAGACGACTAGGATTTTGACACGTTTGTAGGTTACCTTAATGATGGTAATCGGTAAATAACCCGCCCGTACTTGACGGTGTTTCTAAAACGGGTTTCTTTTTTTAGGTTTTTTTTAATTATGATGGGTTTCTACTTTGGGCCCACCATTTTTGTGTACCTTGCTTCTCAAGTCAATAAAGTTTGTGTGAACGTTTTTGTGTTTTGTGACTTGTGTGATCTCTGTTTTTTTTTTTTTTTTTTTTTTCAACTTTTTGCTGCGTTAAATAATTCATTTTCATATTACGGAGTATTGAGGTGTCAAAATATCGACTCGATTCGATCTAACTTAAAAAATTCGATTTAAAATTCAATTTATATGGACACAATAATTTAGTCCGACTTAATTTTGAAATAGATGAAACCCGACTCGATCAAACCCGACTCAAGTATCCGAATGAACACCTTTAGTCTTTTTTTTTTTGTTAGGGAAACACCTTTAGTCTATCATATAGAAAATTGCATGTCACTCATTACCCTAAAACATGTTCTTTTTACACTTTAGCTTTTTTTTTTTTTTACAATTTCATTTTAGTTTATCTTTACAAAATTGTTTGGCTTTATTTTTAAAAATAATCAATAACATAATACTAAAATAAACACCAGGAATGACATGTGTCACTTCCTGGTGCTGTTTTTCCCCTTCAAAACTCCCCCCTCCCTTTTTAGCAAAAATCTTTTATTTCTGAAATATTTGTATAATACAACTATAATAATATATCATTCCTAATCATATATATTATCTTTATTATAATTGTATTCCTTTTTATTTCGTGTTCTATTTACTTAAAATAGCTACATAAGATTTTGAGACTTTTTATTTAAGAGAAAATAAGTTATAATTTAGATGGTTGAAATATGGTGGAGAGTATAAAATAACGGAGTGAAAAATACAATGTTAACGTTTAAATTACTTTTATGTAATTGTACAATAATGGGGTTCAATGAAAAAAAAACAAAATAAAATAAAATAAAATAAAATAATTCTATTCATGGTGTTGATTTGAAATCTTATGAAATAATAATAATTGAGTTAGTTTTCTGTTAAGTATTTCTGTAATAATTTTACCAACTAACTTTTTTTTTCTTTCAAAAAACCTTTTAAATTATTACTAAAACAGGTCTTGCTTATATTGATCACTTTGGACATATGTCAAGTTATAATTTAAAATTTTCCCGCGAATACAATATATGATGTCAACTTTAAGGTTTTTTTTCTTAAAAAAAAAAGTTATTCTACTTAGCTTATTTTTTGGAAGTATATTGTATAGTATATTTTTTTTCAAACTAAATTAATTAATTCATTCTACTTATTTTAATTCATTAAAAAATAAAGCCATACGATATCTACATTATATAGTATTATTACGAATAACATGCATAATTAATGTAATATAATGTATCCTATGTTTAAATATTTTCAACACAACTAATCAAATTTTTTTTTTTTTCAATTATAGTTTTAATAATTTTTGCCTTATTATTTCATCTTTCTTATATGCATAACATTTGTTTATTCCCTCAATTTTATATAATATCACAAATTAATTATGAAAAAGACTATTATATTATTACCGTGTATCGCACAAGCACTAATTTAGTACTTGTAGAATGTCTTTGTGCTAAATATACAGAAATATCTAGCACAAAGAAATATAATTTTAGATTTTGGGGTCCCTTAATATGAAAGTAGAAAAGTTAGTGGAATAGATAGTGTTAGCCTTTTAAAAAATAATAGATTGGATATAATTTGAAAATTAAGAATTTGAAGTATATGTTCAATCGCTGAAAACACGGATTTTGATAGCGCAATTTTATGAAACAATTGTTAAGAAATGAAAAGTTCCTTAAGAAACTTATAAATAGTTGTGGCATGTATGAGATTGATGTGTTTTATTGTCCTTAATTAATTTGTCATAGTTTTGGCATGTGATTGTTTACAAAAATCAATAATTAGAGGATAAGGTAGCAGCTTGCAAATGAAGAAATTGATACATCACAATCAAGTTTGGACTAATTTGGTTTGTCAAGAAAAAAAAACAACCATGAGTTGAAAATTCAACCCGAATAAAAAACAAGGTTATCCAGCTTGAGTTGCACACCAGATAATATACATTTTTTACTATCTCCGTCATTACACTTTGACTGATACATAATATTAGCCAAATTAATTGACTTGAATATAAAAAAGATACAAGTAGCATAATTGGAAATATTGGAATAATAAAAAATTATAAAATAAAAAAATAATGTCAAGGATGCTAATTTTTTTACAAGTTTACTAAGTGTGTGAAGACTATACATGATCTTACCTAATGATTAAGTCATTAAAATTAATGAAATCGGCAAAGTTGTAATACTGACATAAATTGCATGATAGTGCAAAAACCACAAGAAATGTGATGCATGCGTCTAGATATGGATAGAATAATTGATTTTTTTGGGAAGATTAGATGAGTTAGTTGGATTAAACAGTTTGCTAAGCCAGATACCTTTTACTTGAATCCTTTGCAACTTTTTAGGACATTGTTCTAGTTGACATTTGACATGCTGCAAGGAGTAGGCGAGAGAAAGCCAAGTTTCGCTTGAGGCAATCTGTTGATGACATGGGCTTCAGTCATCATGCATTCGGCCTGGCTCCACATGATGAAGAATTCAGCTCATCCGTACTCGAAATATGAATTCTGACTCCTAACTTGTTCACATACGCATCAATTGAGTAATATTTTTAGCACATCCGAACCTGCACTTTTCAAATGGCTATGTTCATGTACCTCAGCCTATCTATACAAACTACAAATTGCGGTAGATCTCCATACTGCCTGTACGAAGTGATTACCTATATGGCTATACATAGCCTGCCATTAAAGGGGGGAAACTTAAAGGGCGAAAACAAAAGCCAGTTCTATTATACAACTATGAAAACATCTGCAGATACCAACTGTAAAACCCTTTTCTTCTCAAAGGAATTTTTTGGGGAGGGGGGGTTGTAGACGGTTGCACACCGCCTCAATCAACTTTAACAGACTCCTACACGAGCAATAAGTTACACAGACCTACGAAGAAGAAAACAAAGTCAAGTATTTAATTATATAATACACACCTTAAAACCGACCTACTACAAAGAACCAAGTTCAGACCCTGATCCTGACCCTGACCCTTGCCCTAGAAAGGTTGAAATGACTGGAGACAACATATGGGCAACCTTCGGCAATGTAGGATAGGAAAGTGTGCCAAGGATAAACCAGTTGACACTTAAAAGTGCAACTGCATCAGCAGCTGGTCTATTTTTAATGGTCGAGAAGAACTGCACTACACTCCTCAAAGACAGACCCACCACAGTGAACAGAGCCAACACAAGAGGCATGCAAGGATCTTTAGCTTCCCATATAATCATTCCAACCAGCAGAGATAACAAGGAACTAAAAAGACTCTGGGATAGAGCAACCTCCCTTCGTTGATTAAGAGCTGCATCTACATCTACGTTGCTTGAGAAAATCAATGGTGTAAGTGGATCCACAAGCCTTGAAGGATTCATCCCTGTTCGGAGTTGCTCCTTGGTAGCCCTGGTTGTTTTTGGCAACTGTAGGTCTTCTTGCAAGTTGTCATTTTCACTTTTGCTAGAATGCCAAAGACGCTCATGATGGCCACCCTTTTCAGGATCAATCAACACTTCCACTTTCCCTCGATCACAGATTCCTTTAGTCTGAACTTCCTTCAGTCTAAGATTCTTGTCTTTTAGGCGCTCCACCTATTAGAAGACGATTTAATTAATTTAAAACACTAAATTTTGTTTAGACTATCTCGTTTAAAAAATGCACACATTTTTTTTTTTTTTTTTGGAATACATACTGGCTTAAGCCAAAATGTATAACTTGTTGGAATGTTATTCAAAAGCGAGTTCCATCTTCTCAATAGTAGTGCGACATGATCATACAGAAAATAAGTACATGAATGTGAAGTTCATTAGCATTTCTCACAATAATTCTATCTTTTGTTATTGTTTCAGCCAACAAAAAGAATAGGAAGGGTTGCTCAAAAATAAAGAGGATAACTACGTCAGCAGTCACTAATTTTAGAGTTGAGGCAGTAAGTCAGCTGAATATTCCTTCTTTTGCCTACACGATTGCTAATAAAAAACCAATAACACTCAGTTCTTCGTGCATCAGCACCCCCATATGAAATGAGAACTATAATAAACCTTTGCCCCTTGGACCTCTCTCTACCATTGGCATTTCTCTCTCCATTCTTCTCCTCTTTTCGTCTCCTCTCTTGTTTTCTATTCCTACAGCTTACAGGATTTTTCCTCATTGGAGAAGTCAGGCGTTTTGTTGTAGAGTACCAGATGTCTGATTTTTTTTCTATATATTTTGTACTATTCATTAGGTTTATAATAGTATAAGTAATTAGTTGAGCCTTTATTTTAAGTAACTTGATAACTTTCAACTGTTCATGAGTTGTGATTAATTTTTTTTATCATTAAGAGGATTAATAATCAATTGAGATTTGTTTTATATTCTAAGGCAGAAATGGTACAAGTGTGAGTTTCTGAGTTTGAAATTATGAAGTAATTTCCTGGCTTCTTACATATTCAAGATCGTTGGCAGTTTCCATCTTTACAACTTTTCTTGCAACTGCAGCCCAGGTTGCTAATTGGAAAGTAGCAACTAGAATGTGGAAGCCGACTGTTAGTTGCAAATATTAGGGACCCTCTAGGTAAGTCACTGCGATTGCTAGCAACCAATCTTTCGCAAACCAATTGAGCAACTAACATAGCTGTAGCAAAATTAATCTTCTTTAGTAGTAAAAACAAATCTAACTTGGTAAATCATGCAGAACTTTCTACAAGTGCACAATATTTTGTAGCTTGCACGTAATCAATACTTGGCAACAGCTATGGATATAAACATGCGAGTATCATACCAATTTAGTCCCAAAAGTAGTCTGTACCCCACTATTGGAACATGCACATTTGATTGTTTTTGCTCTACACTTATGGTGCCAGCACTGATGATTGCCTATATCAATATGCTACTGCAGAACACGACAGCCTAAAGGTGTTCAACTACACTCATTCAGAAAAGGATACAGAAATAATTTTGCTTTCTCTTCAGCTCTCAAAAAAGTCAAAACTTCTCCGATTCTTTTATTAATAACTTTTTTAAATATATAATTCTGCTTCCCTCCCTTCCACTTATTCTTGATAAATTACAAAATCCACCTTACTAAATACAGGTAAAATGATCCCATGTCCTAACTCTCATATAATTTTTTTTTATCCAATCATACTTCCTTTTATAGGTCACTTTTAATAAGTTAACCCTTATGGGCCTTATCCCATTAAAAGGCTCCCAAGTGACTGTTCACCCCCACCTCCAAGCTCTCTTACGTAAGACCCACTATTCCATGAACGCTTCTATTTGCATGATGATGGATATAATAGCTAGATAAACATGTTTGTGAGCACGATCCCGTCAAAATTTGCTGTAAACCATCAATTATTTGTGAATCTTGTTAGCACAAAGCCTTTTCTAAGTTGAATCAGAGAGGAATAAGAATTGATATTCCAGACCTCATCAGTTATAGCACAAAAGAGATTAGATATGACAAAAGGCGAAGTCACCTGGAAGGACTGCCAAAAAAATCATCAAGATAGCTCATATGATTCAACAGTCACCATATACCAGATATAGGACAAAGTTAAAAGGTAAAAATACCATATAAACAGCACAGCTACTACACTACCACCTTTTAATGATATAGCATAACACTAGTCTACTTCCTACTCTTTCTCAGCCTTAACCTCCATGATCCATCACAATAAGATTGCATCTTAAACAGTGACCCAGCAATGGTTTAATTGTTAATTGATATTTAGTTATGATACTATCTAATAAAATTACCCCATCATTCCGTGATTCTTTTATACCCTGTGGGAAATTGTATCTCTCTCCTAATTATGGCAGCCTACTACAGGAAATGTGTTGTTATAAATGTTACGACATGTCAAGTCACAAAATCTTCATCTCTAGACACGTGATCTTTGATGAAACACAATTCCCATTTGCTAAAATCCACACTCCATCAGCCCACACTTATGATTTCTTAGACGTTGGGCTTTCTCCCACCATTATCCATCACATGAGTCAACTCCAATCTGCCACTCCAACCCCTCCTATACCCACGGCCCATGTGCCATTGTCACCCACCTCACCAATCAGTCCGGACCAACAGACCGTGGGCTCCCCTCATCAGCCCACTCCCACACAGTGGCGGACCCAGGAATTTCTGACCGGTGAGTCACAAACTCACAATCGATAACCAAATATGTAAAAAAATATTTTTTTACCAAAATTCCCAAAAAAAATTATTTACAAAGATCATCCAAATAGAAAATTGACAAGATTACAATACTAACTAACATTTAACAAGCTTAGAATTGACAAGACTAAAATTAACAAACTAATAATTTTATTTTTTTTAAAAAAAAAAAAAAAAAAAGACTTAGAAATTTGGGCCCTGGTGAGTCATTTGACCCACCAGGCACAAGGCCAAGTCCGCCCCTGCCCACACATCAAACCATAACTCTCCCTCCTCCCTCTCCCCCCTCACGGCCCTCTATCCCAGCCCAGGCCCAACATCACAGAAACCCACCTCCACCCAAAATGGCCACAAGAAGCTCCCATGGGATATTCAAGCCCAAACGTCAATTCAACTTAACAGTTTCTTCTCTGCCATCTCCTCTTCCCCGCAACCCGATCGCCACCCTCTCCAATCCGAATTGGAAAAATGCCATGCTGGATGAATACAATGCTCTAATTAAAAATAAGACGTGGGAGTTGGTGCCCCGTCCATATAATGCCAATGTTATTCCTTGTATGTGGCTTTATCGCCACAAGAAAAATGTTAACGGTGATTTTGAGAGGCACAAAGCCCGTCTTGTTGTTAATGGCAGGAATAAACAGGTTGGTGTCGATTGCGATGGAACTTTTAGCCTCGTGGTCAAGCCCGCTACAATCCGCACCGTCCTTAGCATTGCTTTATCCAAGGCATGGTCCATACACCAAATGGACGTAAAAAATGCCTTCTTGAATGGTGCTATTGATGAAACCGTTTATATACACCAACCACCGGGAGATTTTAGCAAGCCCTCTCATGTATGCCTTCTCAAAAAGGCACTCTACGGTTTGAAGCAAGCTCCAAGGGCTTGGTGCCGCCGGTTCGCCACGTTTGTCTCCACCATTGGCTTCATTCACAGCAAGTCCGATCATTCCCTCTTCATATATTGTCATGACAAGGAAATAGCATACATACTCCTCTATGTGGACGACATTATTCTCACCGCCTCATCTCCCGCCCTTCGGTTGTCCATCATGGCTAAGCTCCATTCCGAATTTGCAATGAAGGACCTCAGCACTCTTAACTCCTTCCTTGGTATTTCGGTCACACACCACTCAAATGGTCTCTTCTTATCTCAAAAATCATATGCCGAAGATGTCATAGCCAGGGCCAACATGTCTTCTTGCAAACCGTCCTCCACACCGGTAGATACTAAGGCCAAGCTAAGTGCCACTTCGGGTCCCCGGGGATCCCACCCTCTACCGCAGCCTTCCCAGCGCCTTACAATATCTCACCTTCACCCGCCCCGACATCTCTTACGCGGTGCAGCAAATATGCCTCTTCATGCATGACCCTCGCCAAGAACATATGCAAGCACTTTGCCGCATCCTTTAGTACCTGCAGGGTACTCTCAAGCTCGGCCTACATCTTTACCCCTCCTCTATCTCGGCATTAGTCTCATACACCGACGTCTAACTAGGGCGGCTGCCTAGACACCGGACGGTCTACCTCCGGCTACTGCGTTTTTTCTTGGCGACAACCTCATATCTTGGTCGGCAAAACGCCGGCCCACTCTATCCCGATCAAGCGCCAAAGCTAAATACCGCAGCGTAGCAAATGTTGTGGCAGAATCATGCTGGCTCCGCAACTTACTCCTTAAATTACGGTGTCCTATTCGCAAGGCGACGGTTGTACATTGCGATAATGTCAGCGCCGCATATCTCTCCGGCCCGTGCAACACCAAAGAATGAAACACATCGAAATGGACATCCATTTTGTTAGGGAAAAAGTCAACCGCAGGCAAGTTCGTGTCCTCCATGTCCCTTCTCACTACCAAATGACATCTTTACAAAGGGGTTGCCGCAACTCCTATTCGAAGACTTTCGTGCCAGCCTTAGCGTTCGATTACCTCCCGCTACGATTGCGGGGGTGTATTAGCCTATGTAAATGTGTAGTTGTATTTACTATCATTGTATAATCATTCCCTAGGTACTTTGTATATATACTCCTATGCTAAGCAATGATAAGTCACGGACATATTCCTACATTTTCTATTGAAAGCTCCTATAGTTTGAGGATGCTTACTATTTTGGATGTAGTATGGCACCTTTGCCATTACAATGACCATTTTTTTTGTAAGAAAGAATACAGATAAGAGAGAAATTCCAAGGAGTTTGTCAGAATTTAATAGCATAGTTTAGATCAGAAATTCTAGCAAAATTGAAGGTCTAATAATCTAGAAAAAGCAATTGGAAAAAAAATATGTAAAAATTAAACAACACAGATTAAAGTTGATCAACATTATGCAATATTTTCAGAGAGAAGGAAATCTAGGACACAAACGCAGATTGTAAAAGAGAGAAATTCTCACCTCTTTCTCAAGGAATTCAATTTTACCAATAGCTTTGTCATGCTCCTCTTCTAAATCAGCCAACATCGACTCCATTAGATGATGTTCCTTGACAGCTAGCCTCAAATGTCCTGCTAGCTTCTCACTATCCCATGAGAGGCTCTCTAGCTCACTTTGCATTTCCTGGAGAAGCCTCTCCATCTGCATCAAAGGTATATTTAAAATAGTTGTCGATCACAAGTTCTCTTCATACCCAAATACACGGCAGCAAAAATAAATAAATAAAATAACAAAGAAAGAAATTGAGAAGGGATCGTAAGAAACATAAATGAAACTACACTTATCAGGCCTTGAAATTTAGTGCACAAAGTGGAAGACTTATATATGGACAAAAGCATCTCAAGTTCTAACAAAAAATTGATTATAGTATATTGTGGAGACGTTACCAAGGCCAAGGTGAAAAAACAACACATCAAGATGAAATGCCTTAAACACAGAGGCACCATATAAAACTCCATCAATGACAGAAATAGGCTAAGCCATCAAGGAAGCCAAGGTTCTACATTTTACGGTTTCATACACCAGTCCATAAAGGTAAGCCTCTTGGTCCCTTCTGGAGATTCTAGAGAGAATGAAAATCAACTAGGTATCTAAGGTTGAAGAAGCTTTCAACAAATAAATAAGAAAAGAGGAACTTAAAATATATTACAAATATCTACCTTATGTAGTACTAATGCATTAGAAAGTGCATAAATATCAATATGACAATAAGAAGAGACGATAGTGAAATTCTCTAAAAAGGCCTTGTTTGGTAGACAGATTTGGCTACATTTTTTTTTTTTAAAACTATTATATTTTAGCTTATAATGTTGCCAGATTTCTAAAATATGTTAGCTAGATAGCTGGCTAATTGAGAAAGCCAAAATTTTCAGCCTCTGAAACAAGCTGAATGGACCAGCTTATTGGTAAAATGGCAAGTCATTTTACTGATGTGAGCTAAAACAGATAAGTCATTCTACATATTAACAGCTAACAACCAACACTTGCACCTAGAAATTCTCTATGGTAACATTGTGGTTTTTAATTTTCTCAGTGGTAAACTGCGAAAATTCTTATTATCCTTGGTAAACTTGAATTTTTTATTTTAAGCTAACCATAACATTAATGATAAATTGTAGTTAAATATTTAACTATAGTTAGCTTATTTATTTATTTATTTTATTGATACTTTTTTACTTTAAAAAAAAATAACTTTTTTTAAACAAAAAAAACCACCCCTTCCCCCTCCAGCCAGCCACCACTCTCCACCCCCACCCACGCTGGCGCCCAGCCTCTCTATCGCCGACACGCCGGCCTCCCCCTCCCCCCGAACCGACAGCAGCCACCACCGCCCACCACCGGCCTCAACCCTGAATCCCCATCCCCAAACAATCGCTTGAAATTTCCCCAATTTGAACCTCCAAAACGCAGCTCTGCAATTTCAACCTTCACCTTCACCTTCCCCTTCACCTTCAATTTCGTTGGCGACTTTTTTCACCTTCATCTCCTCCCTCTCTAGGCTACAACACTAACCTCGGAAAAACCCTAATTTTCGCAGGAATCGCTTCTTTTGCCCTTGAATCCCAAAACCCATCTCAATTTCACTACATTATATTAAGCTTGTTCAAACAAATTCGCAAGAAAAGAGGTTGTTTTGTAGGACTGTGTGTGCGTGAAATGAGGCAGATTCGTCGCATTTGGCGTTTAGGGTGGCAGAGAACAGGACTCGGCCGGAGGGGACGGATTTTGGTGGGGGAGTGAGAGGGATGGGAATCGGGGTGGGGGAGTGGGAGAGGGGAGATGGGAATCGGGGATGAGGAAGGGTTGGGGGTCGCCAGAAGAGAGGGAGGGGTAGGGGATCGCCACAGCTTGGCGCCGCCAGCCGAGGAGGGGGCCAGGTGGTGGCTGGGTGAGTGGGGGAAGGTATTGTTTTTTTTTTTTTTTTAATATAATTTTATTATTAAAAAATAAATAATTAACCATGGTTAGGCTTATAATTGCACATAAACATCATTAATGTTACCATTTGACTATTATAGCTAATTAGAGTTTACCAAGGATTATAAAATTTTTTACAATTCAGCACTGAGAAAATTAAAAACTTCGATGTTACCAAAGAAAATTTCCCTTTTTTTTTTAATCAACATCATTATAAAGAGTTAATGCTAACGGCTAACTAAACAACTAGTGATGCCTGCACGTGAAACCAGTAATATTCACATATGGAGATTAGGAATCAGACAACTATTTGCTATTTGACTGATTAGAGAATTTTGAGAACTTGGGGACAGCCTGACCACGAAAACTACAAGACCTATGAAAGAAAGTATGGAGAAGACGTACCACTTTCTCCCTGCGGAGTGCACCTAACGCTCGTATAGGAAGAGTTGTGATGCTCACAGTCCATAGGATAAATCTCCAGCACATATTTGCGTGCCAGTTAGCAATCAGTCCTAGAAGCTGCATCCAAGTAACGATCGATAACCAAAAGCTTCTCATAAAAAGTAAGAACATGAGCTTCAGCATGAAAATTTATGCTAACACAAACAACAGCAGCCAGTACTTGTGATTGTTGTGAATCAATCCCAGCAGCTTTTGAAGCAGGCTCCAAATAACTGTACTACATGTCTGAAAATTTTCTACATTAGTCAAAGGTACAAGTATATGCTTGTACCTTGTAGACAGAAACATGATTGTAAAGGTAGCCACAATTAACTGGGGATATAGAATTCTGTTGTAACAACAATGCAACAGAGCAATGATCTTGTTATACAATGTTACAGTACCAAGAAGTAATCTTCTAGCATGGAAACTGACCGCAAAAATACTAAAAACAAACGAACAGTCATATACTATCACATATCCTGGATGACACTATTCTACTAATGTGAGAGATCTTGAATAAAATCTTTAGAAGTTCCCCATATTCTCTCCAGAATTCATGAGACGAGTGAAAACATTATGTAAGGTCAATATACAATGATGTTGGGAGGACTCGAAGTAGAAATTGGGGAATTTACCTGCCACTGAGTAATACTTGCAATGGCTTGAAGCCATCTCCCCATAATATATGAAATTATACATACAAACAACAGTAACAAACCATCTAACCACAGTTTGTCAAAAATAGGGTATGTTACTGGCTACAACTACATAAGGATCACAGATTATGGCATCTCTCTAATTCTTCTCTGCCCCTAAAGTCAACTTTTGCTAAAAAAAAAAACCACTTGTAAAAAGCAACAAGACAAGATCCCTAAAGATATGGGCACAAATCAACTAATGTCCAACTCCCCCTCAATAAAAATAACATAATCTTTTTTCTTCACATCTAAGACATGTGGTTGACAGTGGTAAAGAAAGACTTAACCATTACTCTCCTACACACTGAACAAGCATTTAATGGCTAAAGCTAGCAAGCCTAATAATCACAGCTAACAAAGTTTGAGTACAAAGTGTTAATAGAATTTTCAAGGCACATTGAGGTGCACCAAGGCGTTTGGCGCATGAAACTTGCACCTTGAGCTTTTTTATACATTGCTTGTAATAGAGGCAACCCAAGGAAAAGTTCATTTTCCCCTATCTATTGCATAATCAAGTGTTAATTTACACTTGTATACATTAAGCTCATGCAATGTTCTCCAACTTTCCCCCAATCCCTCAAACACTCTCATAGGTATTGTTCTATTCAATTTATCTTCACCTATTCTAGACAACAATTTTCACACACAAAAATTACTAACTTTAAACAAAATAAATTTTTTTTTTTTGACAAATCAAGTTTTTCAGACAGTAAGTTCCAAATAAGATAAGCATTAAGCTTAGACAAAATAACGGAAAATTTTACAATTGAAAATCTTTTTTTTTTTTTTTTTTTTTTTTTTTGAAAATCATTTACTACTAAGTACTGACTAACCATCTAACTATAATAATAATCATAATAACATACTCAACTTTGTTCCCACTTTAAAAAATTTGAAAACTGTAACCAACAGCCGAAAACTACCAGAATCATCGGGAATTGCAAATTTTTTACATCCACCTTAAAAGAAAATTGATATAATATAGCAATATACATAGTTATATCATACCCAATGTGACACACATTCATGTCGGATTTGGCTTCTCATCACATAAGTTCACACTGGACTTTGGCAAGAGCAGACTTACTGGTAGTACTCGACTCCTTAAAAGCTTAAAAATAAAAGGTCCGACCAAGACTTAGAAACAAACAAATTATCTAAAATAGAATAGATTTGTTGTATTACAAAGGAACCTCAAAACCTTTTAATGCACTGTATAGTAGACTACTCACAAACTCACAAAGTGATATGCTGATATCTAAAGCTAAAGATGCAGAATTACACCATCTCTTCAACCTTGAACATAGACACCCTTTTAACATTCAAAAAATCAAAACGACGCCAATGCCATACTACGATCATAAATCAAAGTTAATAGCCAAGGCTAACCTCCTGGCCACACAAGATACAAGTGCACAAACTCCAACATCCACATGCAATTGACATATCTAAACCGAACCAGATATATGCAACCTTATCATTAACTTATCAAGTCCTCACTAAACAAACATATATCATGGAAATAAGAACATCAAACATAAATCATAAACACAAAATCCTGACAAACCCAACTGAAATATTTGCACTCTCTAACAATCCCAACTGAAGTTTTGCAAGTTCTCACAATCCCAACTGAATTTTTGCAAGTTCTCACAAACCCAACTGAATTTTTTGCAATATCCGACAAACCCAACTGAAATTTTAACAATTTCTGAAACACCCAAATGAAAATATCTAATATTAGACAGACCAAGTTGAAATTTTACAATCTCTGACAAACTCAATCGATATTTTACCCTATCTGACAGACCCAATTGAAAAAATACAATATCTAAATACAATCAGCAAAACACCAAAATCCCGGATAAAATTGAACCAAATCAGCAGACTACAAACACAAAACATATATACATATATAATTGAAGAAGTTGATAAAAAGAACAATAACGAAAATAATTGAATGAAAGTAGAGAATTGATGAAGCGTGATAACCTATGTTGTTCGAGAATGGGGAAGTCGTTCACTTCACTGACAGTTGCAGAAACAAGAGCGGAAGACAGAGAAAAGGGTTTAGGAGAAGGATGAAGAGGTGGCAACAGGAGTTCGGCCATGGTAGACACGTGTGGTAGAATTGAGAAGGAGATGAGAGAGAAAGAAGAGGGCGGGAAACTTAATTATATAGCCTGCAAATCTACGCGTCAAACTTAGCATATCATCTTACTTTGCTGCTAGCTGACTCATCCTGATATTCTGATAATATTTTCTCCGTCCCCTAATATAAGTTCATGTTTGTGTTTTTTTACGGTATTTGAAAATAGGAGGAGAAAGTGAAAGAAGTATATTAATAAAAATGAAAAGTATAATTAAAGACAAAAGTTAGAAAAAGGAAGTTGAAAAAAAGTATAAAGCATGTGCAAAATTTAGGAGTAATTTAGTAAGTATAATGAATAAAGTTAAAAAAAAAATTAGGGTATAATGATTTTTATATAATATCCAAAAATAAATAAAGGAGCAACATTTTAAATTTCCAAAATACGAAAATAGAAATTATATTATGGGATGAAGGGAGTACAAGTTGATCTCGTTTTGGGATAACGGATAAACCGCTATTGGTGTTAGCGATTTTACCCATTTTTACCTCATTCTGGTGATGCCTTTTATCAAGGAGTTCAACGAGGCTCCCTCGATTCCCAAATCAGTTTAATTGATTTATACTCGTATGAAATTATAATCGAAATTGGAATCAACATCTAGTGATCTTAAGGCTACGACTCTTTTTAATTCATCTAATTTTATCTGTAAATATATTACTTGCTCTGTTTTAATTTCAGTTTTATAATTTCCGTAAGCAATTGATTTTTAAGTGTTAAACTATTGTTTTGGAAAAAGACTAGCACATCTGGTTCTCACTTATTATTATTATTATTATTATTATTATTATTATTATGATGATGATGATTATTATTAGGAATTTTTTTTTATTATTATTATTATTATATCTCAAAATTGGACAAAGTCATACAACCTATAAAAAATTAGTGGGAAGCCACGATACAATTTGGGCCCCACTCCTCTAGCTATAGCAAATCCTATCCTAGTGAAAATATGAGAAGCAGCACGTGCTCCAATGTCTTGAGTTTTCGAGAACTTTTAGACCCACTTCAGTGACACAACCGCCTCCTTTTCTAATTCCCCAAGTGAAGAGAAAGAGAAAGGATGGAAACCGTACCCAATTGGCTGACAACTAGCTTCATACTTGACCTGCTTATGGTGAGCCGCATCAGTCACAACCCGTCCAAGTACAAAGTCAAACAACCCAGTCTGAGTCAAAGGAGAAGACCCTGTCAAGTCAACACACATCGCGACCTCATTCCCAAGAGTAGAGTAACACATCTGCAGGTTTGAGGGTGTTGTCGTTCCCCCTAAACAACCAAATGTCAACCTCCTTTCTAGCCAAAATCCCAGACTGATAACAGACATCAAGAAGGGTATCCCGAACAACATTATGGCGATGTTTAATACCCACCATACCAGCACATGACACCGCATGATCCCCAAAAATGTCCCCAGCAAATACTTTATAGCAAGCAGAGCACGGTGTTGAAATAGAGAATAAAGGAACACCCAAACGATAACACAACACACATCGATAAGTCTTAGCGTTCATAGTCTAATCCAACACACAAATAGGGACCGCTTGAAGCCAAGCCGAGGTGTGTTCTCCTTGCTGAGACTTCCACAACGCTGACTGACAAGGAGATAAAGAAAATGTGGATTTTGCAGAAGCAGTAACCTTTGGATTATTTTTTTTTTTTTATAAGAGGATTTTATATAAACTCAAAAGATTTACATAAAATTAGTGGGAAGCCGATAAACAATCCGGGCCCCCACTCCTTTAGCTATAGCAAAGCTAATCCTAACAAATATAAAATTGTATTATTATTGTCGTTGTTGTTGTTGTTGTTGTTGTTGGTGTTGTTGGTGGTGTTGTTGTTGTTGGTGTTGTTGTTGGTGTTGTTGTTGTTGGTGGTGGTGGTGTTGTTGGTGGTGTTGTTGTTTGTGTTGTTGTTGTTGTTGTTGTTGTTGTTGTTGTTGTTGTTGTTGTTGTTGTGTTGGTGTTGGTGTTGGTGTTGGTGTTGGTGTTGTTGTTGGTGTTGTTGTTGTTGTTGTTGGTGGTGGTGGTGTTGTTGTTGGTGTTGTTGTTGTTGGTGGTATTGTTGTTGTTGTTGTATCTCAAAAATAGACAAAGTCATACATCGTACAAAAAAATAATGGGAAGCTGAGATACAATCTGGGCCCCACTCCTTTAGCTATAGCAAATCTCATCCTAGTGAAGATATGAGCAGCAGCACATGTCCTAATGTCTTGTGTCGTCAAAATCTTCTAAACCTGCTTTAGCAATGCAACAACCTCCTTCTCTAATTCCCTAAGTGAGGAAAAGGAGAAGGGAATGAAACCATATCCAATCACCTGACAACTAGCTTCATACTTAACCTGCTTCTGATGAGCCGCATTAGCCACAACCCGTCCAATAACAAATTCAGATAGGCCCAGAATGTGTCAAAGGAGAATACCCTGTCAAATCAACACAGACATCACGACCACGATCCCAAGAATGTAATAAAATGTAAGTATTTTGTGACCCTGATTTAACGATCCACCATGAAAATAATATATAGCACTAGCTATTTCTATGAGATCGAGTGATGAATCATATTTATATAAGACTATGCTACTTTTATAGTAATTGTTTTTTATGTCTTTTAGGCGCTTTTTAGGGTCATATATGCATAAGTTATCTATCTTGAGCTCTATTACGCTTCTTTAGTGCGTTCTTAATGTTTCGGGTGATTTCATAATCATTTGGATGCTTTTGGAGTGTTTAGAGTTGATTTGGATGATATCGGGACGGAAAGTCTATGGATCGAGTTCATTGTTCGAATAGTTTATGTTCGTATATGTTAATTTTGATGATAATATACATGGAAAATGAATATAGCATCCACAAGAGTTAATATACACCTTTAGGGAATGAATTTGAGTTAGAAATGGAGTTAAACGATGCTTTATGAAGTGTAAAAAATGACCGTTGTTCTCTCTTTTGATCATAACTTGAATTCTACATATCGGATTGAGATGATTCAGGTTGGGTTGGAAACTAGACTTGAAGAGCTTCTTAATAGTGGGTCACACGCCTATATAAGACATATAAATCAGAAGTTAAGCCCGTGAAGTTGATGTCGCGCCTGCAATGCGAAGTAGCGAGGAGCTCGCGAGCTAGTTCGCATAGGTTGCAAGCCCAACATTCTTGAGCGATAGGTCTCTTGACAAATAGTTATAGCTCACTGCTACTGAATCCCACAGTAGTCCCAAGCTAGCTATAGCTCCTCGAATTGATGCCCACAACAGCAGCACAACAACATTATGAAAGGAGCATTTTTGCATAACGTCCTTGTCCTGTTGCTCAATTCCATCACGCGTTATCATGCCACGTCTTCGTGCCACACCATATTTTGTGGTCTAATAATAATACAACTTATGTAATTTTTTTTTTCTTATTTCTTTTCTTTAACAATTTTTAGATTCGAATTTAGGAACTTATATATACTAAAAGAGATTTATTTTTTGCTTAGGCCTTTTATGCCTTTTATTATTTTATGTTCATTGTAGTTATCTTTGAACCCTAGTTTCTCATGGAATCTCCATGGATTCTTTCATAGATGATATCTGGGTTTATTATTTCAATTCATTAAGGTATTTTTATTTCTCTTACTTTTATTTATTGTTTTCAATAATATTGATTTCTTTCTTAGATCTAGTATTATTTATTCTATGATTGAGTAGTTTTATTTCTAGGGTTTGGGGATTCATGTTTAGTACCATGAAGATTGATTATTTGTTATTGATATGTTACTTATTGATTTCTCTAATTAATAGTGTTTTTATTATTAATCTTACAATCTGATCAATTGTTTGGTTAATTCATGTTAATAAGAGTTTGAATCGAAAGATCATACTTTTAGAAGCTTTCCTACAATTAACAATTCTTATTATATTAGCGACCGTACACATATGTTGAACTGAAAGAGTTAAGACCCGACTGTAGGTTTAGCAATTGTTCTACATACTTGATTGAATTGTTATTGATATTTTGATAGATTTAGGACTCAAACCATAACCCTATGTCTTTATATTAATTGTATTCATATTTTCATTTCTATCCCAATTTTGTGACATACATACTTTAATTTCTCCAAATCTTTAGAATTTAGATTGAATAATCATATCCCTATGGATTCGACCCTACTTACCTTACTACTCCCTCCATTTTTTTAAATGCATCAGTTTGACTTTTGCACTATTCACATATCATGTTTGACCGGTTAAACTGGTGCATTTTAAAAAAAAAAACAGAGGGAGTATATTGTTAGGAGGTTTTACTAGGATTTATTTTTGACATTTGTATGACAACCTATCATAGAGCGTATGCAGCTTCAATGCCTTCCAGTTGAGTTGTCTATCCAAATTTACGTAGAGCGATTTTTTCACCAAACTTCCGTGGCTTCAAGTCTCATACCCTCTTATGAATTTAATTTCATCGCCCTTGAGTTATTAAGCAAATTCACTGATATCATCAACAAAACATCATATTTCTTTAGATTTCTTTGCAATATAATCCGACATTTCCTCCATTTTTCAAAATTATTTTTCACCTACTTTATCATCTCCCCTACCATGTTAGAAAAATCCTCTAATTTTCAATTTAGTCACTTGATAAGGGGCAGATTTAAGTTCAGAGCACAATTTACCCACTCATTTAAAAAAAAAAAAAAAAGATTCTTGTTACAAATATTTTACAAAAAAATAAAAAAAAAACTAATAATTTATTTACAATTGGATTATTTGATGTAGGAAAAAATAATATGCAAAACCCGAGTAGTTGCACACGGTCAACAAATCTAGGGAGTAAATTGTAGTTTCATATAATTTGTTAATTTAGAAATAATTATAATTCTTTTGTCTCTAAACATTCTTCCAAATTCCTAAACAATTAGACCTTATCGCCGTTTCTTTTGCCAAACAATCAGAATTTCTGATCCAATTTTTCCTGAAATTTCAGCTATTTTTCCCAACTTGGCTGAAATACTTGCTAATTAAAAAAATGTCCATTATAATTAACTAATCATTCTAAGTTACTTACATATAAGAGTACTATTAAAAAAATTAAGTATAACTAATTCATTATGTCTTACCATATAAGAGTACTCCATCATGCTCATTGCAGTCCTCGTAG